CGGAAAAACTATTATTTCTATTATTAACTAAAACTATTATTAACTATTAAGATTAGGCTTAAATGTAAATGACCTCGAAATAACAATAAGCGACCTTGATATTTGTAGCTGTATTGCATTTTAGCAGAACGTAACATGAGAATGTTACCATATTAAATAAATCCATAAACTAATAGTTGGATGATTTTATAAATTACTCGTTAGAACTTTTATTTCATGCATTACAGAATTAATTTAATTTTTATTTTCTATATGTACAGGTATTGTTTTCCTTGGTAATAGAAATACATATCACTAGGAAGGCCATGATTTATTTGCGGATTTAGAAGGGGTGCATAGAAACATGGATTATCAATTTACGTTCAAATACTTGATCTGTATTGACAAACACTTACTCTTGAACCGGAACCCACGAAAACTTGAGAATGGGATAAATTGTATGTGCTGTGGCAAATCCATCGCTAATGCATTTCCGTGCGAAGTTTCTGCTTTCAAATTACATATTCAAAATGGAATTGCATATATGGTTACTACCACCATTTGTTATGTTCATATCAGATGAATAAATTAATTTTAAGGTAAGAAGTTTAAAGCAATTATTTTGAGATTAATTTTCATAATTTGCTATTATACATGAATGCATTTTTTTTTAGAATTTTTATTTAAAACGTTTTGTGAATAAGCCTTAATTTAGCCTTAATCTAGCACGATTGTTGTCTAACATTGCTTTATTGAGGTCCGGCTTTTCTAACTTAAATTGAGACTTTTTCCTTCAAGAAAAGTAGAGAACTTACAGAGTAAAAGGAACCTACAGAAATTAATTTATTGCTATTAAATTATTAATTAGTATAAGGTTGCTTAAACTTCAACAAGTACTCTATGATAATAATCAATTTAAAGACCTAAAATTAATTAAGAAAATTCCATTAAATGCTAAATACGAAATGAAAATCCTTCGTTGGTATCTTGTCAAATGATGAATACAAATAATCCATGAATATAAAAGATAACTAACTATATGGGGATGTTTTTTTCAATGCACCTTTTCCTGTAAATATTCAGTAATGCTTTGAAATGCTGCCAATATTGCAAGACGGGGGAAAATGTATTCTGGAGAAATTTATGTCAGGCGATAATTGTAACTGGAGCCTTTTCTTGGACCATTCGATTAAGTTTTGCATTTCTTTATAATAAAAAATTCTTAATTTTATATGACTAGCTCATTACTCGGCTGGCCTTCTGTATGGTTTGTGTAACTCGTAACAATAATAATAATACCAAAAACTCAAACCATTAAAAGAACCAAATTCGTTTGCAATTTCTAATTTAATTTTTATTTTTATTATACGTTATATGATAATTTCTTTAATTAATTTCTTTTTGGTGTCCCTTTGTTTACGATTATATAAATAAAATAAATTAAAATCTAAACAAAAAATAAAACACGTATAAAAAGTGTTTAATTAGTTCAGAAAAATGTAATAAAAAGTAAAAAACAATTATTGGTTGTACGTAATTAAAAAAAAAAAAAAAAAAAAAGGGCAAAGAGGCAAGCAAGGAAGCTTATTTTCAAAATAAAAATTATCAAAGAGAAATCTACTTAAATTGAATGTAGTTATTCTCTACTTGTCATTTTTACGCTGAAGTTTCTGCTGTCCATTGAAATTCTGTTAATATTCCAATACCTTATGCGGATACCCAACTGTTTATTTCTATTTACATGACAAAGTGCGCAACCGTTTCTTTGGCTTCTCCCCGATGTAGTCGAGTGATGTAGCAGGAAACGGAAGTGCTTTCAGTTTGAAAACTCATGCCGCAAAAGTTCTTACATGATATGTTGAGGAAATATTGCAGAAAATCATCTAATTAATAGTTTTCAAGCAATTTTTTATTTAAAACAGGGAGAAGAGTTTGTTTAATAACTGCGAAAATTTTAAAACTTTGCAACATTTATAGATGTTGAAGTTTTAGACCGCATGGCTATAAGGTATTTTCTTCCTCCTTCCAGTATGCTTTCGTGGTGTAACGGTAGCACACTTGGCGCGTATTCGAGAGGTTCCGGGTTGACTCTTGGCGAGGGCATTGCGCCTTTTTCATGTCTCCTGCTTCAAAAAAACCTAATGACTCTACATGTCAGCAAAAATTGAATAATAAAAAAAAAAAAAAAAAAAAAAAAAAAAAGAATCGGCAATTTTTCTTAGCATAGATTACATCAAAAATTCTTTGAAAGTCATTTAAAAGACTTTTTTCTATTTTATCAGAAGGTGCATGCGGTAAAATTGTGATATTTTTAGCTTCTTTCTTAAACAAAGATTTAGGGAAAAAATCATTCCGGCATTACACAAGAAAACATTCAAATCGAACTTTGAAAAATTCACTTCGAGATGAACAATTATACTTTCAAGACATGCATGAAAAGTCTCGCGGCTTTAGGCCAGTCCATCATTACAAAATACAACAAATTATTCACATACTATTTCAAAGAACTATTATTTTATGACAAGACAGATTTAATGATATCAAGAAACTGATATACAGATTGGAATGATATCAAGGACGAATTCAGTTTTTTCTCTAAAATATAAAGATATGTTTTGAGGTATTTCCAGTTAACCATAATGAATTGAATATAGCAATAAGACAAATCACAAGGAATGTTATAAATGATACAATGAAAAATGTTTTTATTTTTTATTGTAAATAAATGCTATGATTACATAATACATAATATAGTTATTCTATAAAATAATTGGTAATTTGTGAGTATTGCTCAAAATGCTGTCACATATGAGAATTGTTCTAACCTATTACAATCACCTGCACATCATTTCCTAACTTAGGTGCTACAGTCACTGAACTTAGATTTTGAATGCCATTTGAAACACAAGTTTTACAATAAAAGACCTGATTCAAATACTTTCTTCAGCAAACATACCTATAATGCTTTAAATCGGTAATTATTTTTTTTCCAAGTTTCAAATTATACCTAAATTTACCTTTTAAAATTATAACTGCATTGGGAGCTTTATCTACCGAATAATCTTGTAACAACTATGATTTGACAATGCATGATTCTCATTCTCTTTTCATGCGCGAGTTTTGAGTCACCTAGTAATTGTTTTTTAAGTTTCAGCTTCGAAATAAAGTGATTTATTAATTCCTTTAGACATAATGAAAATTCATATTACAATAAACATAGCAATTATATATAACAAAAACGACATACAGCAGTACATGTAGAATATTTATACTCAATACATAGTTCATAGCCACATTTTAGTTAAAAAAATAAGCACCTATAAGCACTTTTCAAGCACATTTTAAGAAAAAAAATAAGCACCTGTCTAATTACATCATACACAACTGCATAACCTTAAAAATTAGACTTGTAATTTAAAATATGAGAAATGCAGTATTTATTAAGAGCGAATAAGCATTACCTCAACCATGCAAAATAATAACTTTTTTTTTAATTTTAAATAACAATTCAATTTACAGAACTAGTTTACAATTCTTTATTTTTTTAACATTCGTGTATTGGTTACGGGTAGCATTTATCAATACAGAGAAACTCTTGACATTTCTTTCTTTAATGTTTCCTCTTCATCGACAATAAACTAGCTCTTAGGCGTAAGAAGCCTATTTTTTATGACTTGACCTAGATCACGATTGCCAAACGTTTTCGAACGAAGAGGCAGTTAAAATCTTGCCCTTGAGCCCGTGGGCCAAAGAATGGCATCCGCTTCCTAGCAAAAATATAACAGAAGTAAAAAAATAGAAATGTACAGTGAATCCTTACATAAAACGATTTAAATTCCATCGATATTTAGAGTCACGAAAATGTTATTATTCTGTAGTGTTAGTTCAGAATATTTTAAAATTCCAGACAGTAATAAGAAGTCTTGATTACACTTTTGCCAGGCTAGAATATGACCCGTCGGTTAAACATTGGACCGGGTTAAACATTGGACCAGTTTTTCGGGTAAGCGTTAGTCAAAAGATCAATGATTTATAGTTTTTGATTTAAGAAGGAGATAGTTGGCTCATCCTGTCACTTGAATACACAAGAGCGATAATTTAATTTCGCACTATAATTATTAATTATGCTACTTCTAACTGAATACTAATGAAAAAGTTTGAAATGTAATGAGAATTAATAATTTAAGTTAGCGTATGATGCTTATAGAAATAAAGTAATAATCTGAAAAGAAGAGGAAACGTAAAATGAAAAATAATAGCTATTTTAGCGAAGGCTAAATAATAGTCCCTTGAGGACTGGAATTCATTTTTAATCACTGAGCTTACTGAGGCTGTGGTAAAGACTACTACAGTAACCTAGACGACCACTTATCATTCCAGGTGAATTTAATTTCTTTCAGATCGATTCTGAGTTTCTGTAAAATGACTAGGATTGTTTTAGAGAGATGATGCTCAATGACAGTGTTTGTTTGTTTACAGAAATATTGGCCTGTTTCAAAGGTGGTATCATCTTAAGAAGGTCCTTAATGGTTCTTATGAGAGAGGTTCGTTATATTTATCTTAACTGGAATGAAAGAGAAAAGTTTGGAATAATGTGAGAATTTTCTGACTGTGGCATAGCGACACTCAGTAAATATATTAGGCAAAAAGGCACTAGACAGCTGATTGCATGCAGGACTGCTATCTTCTTTGGTTATGCTAAAACGCATAATGCACTCAACTCTCGTGCTTAGGTATCTCAGTTTAAGAGCCATTCGATTTTAGAAACTATGTTTTTGGTTTTGGTCAGTTGATGGACTTTAATGAAATTCTCACTGATCAAGCTCCGATTTTTTGAACATTTTTTTGTAGCATTTATGAATTTGTAAAATCGAGAGCTTGCACGTAAAATGAGTGGTACATGTACGCGAAATACATTTAGAAGAAGAAACACCTTAACAGTAGAGATAAAGGGCAGATACGGAGAAGCATTTGATCTTCACAAGCTATTAATTCAAGCAATCATAATCTCATCGAATTACCTGACACGACGATCTCCACTGCATGCTGATGCCCCATGGGCGTAACGCATGTGAAGAGACCTGAATCTTCTGTTTTTGCATGGTAGATTGATAGTCTGTATTCTAGCTGGGAATCCCTTCCTGGCTCATTCGTCCAACCTATAAAAAAAAAGTTATTCAATCATGTACTAACTTTGAAAATTGAATTAAATTGGAGTAATTGAATTTGTCATTCACCCTTTGTAATCGAGAAGAGAAGATAAAAAATTAACTAATTCCGAAAAACGATTAATGACGTAGAAAGGGAATTACGCTAAAATATTTTTTGGAAAAATAGTATTTTTAAAATACGAAACATGCAGACCTTTTAGCAAGTAACAGAAAATGATATTAATTGTATACTTTACAAATTAATAAATTTACAGCAAGTATGAAAAGAGATTTAATTTGAAATTACGAAAAATATAGCTATAGAAAATATAATTGTGGAAGAGGATAAAAAGCAAACATATCTTAGTATGTTTATGAGGCACTTAAGTTTTTTAAAAAATATAGTATCTTAAATATTTTTAAAGACTACGTTTTTTTTTCTACATCAAAACTGTGATTAACTTTTGCAATCTACGACACTGTAATTTACTGACAGCAAAGACCAATTCATAAAGGCTCGGTTAAAAAGCTCTTAAGAAGACTCTATTCTTTATCTTATTTCAACGTAGAACCTGTTACTGGATGCGAATTATGTAAATGTTTTCATAAAACAATCTAAAATGCAATATTGTTTCACTTAAAATTGTTTAAACAAACAAGAAAAGGAAAAGAATTCAGTTTTGCTTCCATGCTTTCAGTGTATTACGTATTGTGTAAAATATAAACTTATATATTTTAAACCAGGGTATTATTTTTTCCTAGAAAATTAAGTAGATTATTTCTTTCAGGGCAAAGCCCACAAGGGCCTTTTGCCTGTTTTTGATTTTGATAGATACTGGAAAAAAGATAACTAAAAACTCTTAAAAGTTTTCTTCTGCTTCAAATATTACATTATTTAGTATTGAAAAAATACATGGCACTTAATAAATTTTAAAATGATTAAGGGTATAAGTTTTTGGTCGGATTTAAGGAAGTTTATTTACCTAATAATGTTACAACTATGAAGATCTCAGTATTGGATCTCAGAAGGATATGTAACTGGACAGATTGTTTAAAAGTTAGTTTTATCAATTAACTGCAACTAAACCACTTTTTCATTAGCAAATGTATTAGTTGTTTCATTTTTCGGTATTTTGCAAGAGAAAATACCTACTGCTACAAAATTCCTTCATCCGGGTTTAGAGGCTTTCATAATAATTTTGGAGTCTTACTCAGATAATAAAAAACAGAAATTTAGCAAGTAAAATGTGTTGCTATAATTTTGTTATAAAAATAAGAAATAATATTTCTAACATAAAGCATAACATATTTATTTACCTAGTTTATAACTAGTTTTAATCCACCATTTAAATTTATACAAAAAAACATTAACAAAATCCACTTTACCTTCTGGATACTTTCTGTTTTTGTGACTAACTTCCCAGTGTGGTGTTCCGTACTTCCTGATCCATAGGCATTCCAAATGAAGAACTGTCCCAGGATAGACTATGAGTTTTCCATCGTTACTTTGAGCAATTTGGCCGATCTGGTGTCGAAATAGAATTGTCGGTGCTTTTTCTACTATAAAGAAATATCAAAGAAAACGAAAAAGGACAAAACGTGTAAGTTCTAAACCTTAATTTGAGTGTCACAAATATACTTAAAATTTCATTATTACTTAAAAATAACTTATTACTTTACTAAATGTTCATACTCTGTTCTGGTATTGTTTTTTGTTTAAATATTGAGCGAGATTTTTTTTTTTTTTTTTTTTTGAAATGCACGATGAACACGAAGAAAACTTTCGGCAGCCAATTTTATTCCTTTTCATAAATTAGCCGAACAAACAAATAATAAAAACTGTAACCATAGAAACTCTCCCATAGTAATCAGAAAGTAAAAGTTTTGATGCAATCATAGACTGTAATTTTAGAAAGAAATAGTTTGACTGTAATTACAGAAAGTAAAAGTTTAGCTGATTTTTTTAAATTGATGGTATGGATTTTATTTGCATTTGAAGATAACCAAAGCCTACATGCATTAGAGTATGCAAAGAAGATGGAGTAATATATAGTATTTGAATAAAGAATATGAAGAAATTAACATGGATTTTTTTCAATTGTAAAAGATTTGCTTCTATTTCTAAATGCTCCATTACAAGAAGTCACAACATAGATCAAGTTAAAATATATGCAACAAAATTTTGAATTAAATTTACTGCTAACTAAATATAAATGTGCTTAATAATATATTATACTAAACGATATAAACAAGCTTTTAAAATTAAATATTATCTATCAAAGTATTTGGAAGTCAGTTTATGATTTGGGGATTTACCTTTCACTATTAATTATCAGATGCTACTTATTGAATTCACTACAGTTATTAAAAACTTTATGAATTACGAATTATTTCCTGATTTAAGCACAGGAGGCCAAAATACATTTTCTATGACGACAAATGGTAAAATGTATTTTGCTTTTTAACAACGCAATGCATTTAAATCACGCAAGATATAAAAATGTCAAGATTTATGGATTTATGGATTACGGCAAATGTTAAGATTTAGAGGGACAGCTCGATACTAAAATGAATTTCGAGCTGATCATCAAAATCTCTGACCTGTTACTTCTTGCAAATCAGGCCAGGAATATAAAGTATGTTGGATTCTAGAATGAACAGAAAGGTTTGGGTTATTTTGCATGAATGTGTATTAATATATATGCTTTCCGTTTTGTCTTGCATTGAATAGAGTCTTTGTAAGATGCTTTCCTCCAGAGATTAGTTAAATTCTTATTTCTGTTGGTCGATATTTAAATAACTCTTATTAGCTAGACAATGTGATTAATAAATTAATTTTTTATTTTGATAGATATTGATTTTTTATGAGTGATTAGTTGAAAACGTGTAAAAACTTGGGTTTAGACTTAAGCTTGAATAGGAATCTCATCTTCGCCATTAGAAGCTATTCTAGTTGAAAGCTAGACCATCTCTAGGAATTTTCCAAATTTAAGAGATTTTAATTTTGTGATTTATTTTACTTTCTAAAATAGCTGGCAAACGAATATAGTTTCATCAGATTTGATATTATTGGTATGTACTGTATGAGACGCAATTTGCAACGACTGCGATTAATCAATTTATTGTAGTTGAACAGATTCATCCACATCATATAAATCAACCTCTATGAACCATGTAAATATATGGCATGCATCAACATATTTTGCATTAATTTTTTTAACCAATGGCGGGCTCTCAGCAGACTTCGGCTTGTCCACTACTAAGGCCAGAAGGGGGTGGTCACTTTATTATGGAATCATCTTAATAATTGGGTCACCTTTGCCTTCTATGAAGGGACGGACAGTTACAACCATGTCTTCTCCGGAATTCGAACCCGGGCCCTTTGGTATCGTAGTCGGCTTCCCTAACCACTATACCCTCTGGGCGACAATAAAATTGTATTATGTGATCTATTTTATGGACTTGCACATTACGTTTGTAAGAATGAATTTCCTTCACCTTGTTACAATATACTGGCTTGTACATACATTTATGAGCTCGAGGAAACGGAATAGTTTATTCTGTGTAAACAAAAAGTAATTAAGTTTTCACGTTTTCCTTTTAGATTTATGAAATCATTCATAGAAATTCTACATGATCACACGTTAGGAAAATCTTACAATCTGATTAGTAAGAATCTAATGTTAAGAATGCTGATAAAAACCTTATATTTTTATTAATGTTAACATGGATTTCAGGTGTTTTGGGTAACAGGTATAATAGGTGAATTTCAGCGTCCACCCTGACGTTTGTGCTTGGAAATACTATTGAGTCTGACTGCATTTAACAAACACCTACGCAGTACCTTTTGTAATGCAGAGCCATTTAGAAGAAAGTATTATATTCAATATATTGATAATGCTAAAAATCAATATTAATGTCATGAAAGACTTAATGCATTTTGTTTTACTATTCAAACTATGAATCAAACAAACTTCTTACGGGCATAGTCATATTCTTGTGACAAACCCAAACAAATGGGTTCTGAACCTGTCCATTGTCCTCCCATACAACGTCGTCGGATGCTCCCTTCGAAGCTATATTTGCCGATATCGCTGCATCTGTAGACAACTTCTGTGCCGGGCGGGAATTTTGATATGTCAACATTTAGCTTTTTATCATTCACGAAAGCCACAACATCTGGGTTGGGTCTCCGAAAAATGCAACTCTTGTTGCGGTTGTGGTCATTTGGCGGCGGATGAATCCGAGTATCTGCATAAAAAAAGCAACTTAATATGAGAATAATTTTTTAAGAAATACAATTTCAGTTAAGTTATTGATTTCGTAAGATCCTAGCCTTCTGTAAATCTAAAACGTAACACCTTGGAAACTAACTGATTAGCCCTTTATCAGTTAGTTGCCAACTTGCCACTTAAGTTCGCAAGTTTTCTTCTACAACTTCTTTAAATGGAAATAATCATTAAAGTCAAACTACAGGCGTTTCATTTGCGTTTATTTATAGAATAATAAAACTGAAGAGTATTCACAGTTCAAGAAACACTATGGCATGCAGTGTCGCAACTGAATTAATGTCTGGAAATGAAGCATAATTTTAATTAATTCCTAATTATTAGTAAGTATTAAAAGTAAAAAAAAATATTCTCAAACAATTTTCTTAATAATTCAAAATTTCCAAACGCGTAATAATTTACTTAGATTTTACATTTAACACACATTAAATAGATATTTCCATCTAAGCTATGATTTCCTTCAACTATGGACAGGCACCGAACTTAAAGAACAAATCCTTTGCTTATTTGGAAAATGCTGAGTTAAAATAAAAATCAAGGTAAAGGAAAGAAACTTGAATAACACATTATGGTTCTTTAAACTGAAATCTTATAACATTATAAGTTATTTATCCCGGCTTCTTAGCATGCCTTCTTAGTGTAGTGGTCAGCACGCTGGGCGCGTATTCCAGAGGTTCATGGTTCGACACCCGGCGAAGCCGTTGCTAATTTTTCATCTCTTCCGCTTCGAAATAACCTAATGACTCTACAGTAGCGCGCGAACTAAAAGGTGGTGAATGATGATTCTTCACCTACAGGATTTGGCGATTGGGTCCCCTCCCCTTGCCCTTTAAAAGGGGGAGTATATAAGGTATTTCTCCTACCTTCTTAGCATGCGTTCATAGTGTAGTGGTCAGCACGCTTGACGAGAAATTGAGAGGTCCGGGGTTCGACTACCGGCGAGAACATTGCTCATTTTTCATGTCTTCTGCTTCCTAATGACTCGACGACCTTACAAATTTTAATGTTTAATTATTTTGATTAATAATTCTTGTTTAAATTTTGCTTTATTTTATTTCTCAGTTCAACTCAGTCTTATTCAAAAGAAGCAAATTTTATGCACATTCAAGATAATTCATGCAGGCGTCGAAGTTGAGAGATTAAGACGCGATTCTGAAGGAGATCTTAGGCTACATGGGTAGGATAGGACAGGATGTAAAGGGCGAGACATTAGACTGCACCAGTATTTTACAGGTATATTCATACCATACTTGCTGTACAATTCCGTCGCAATTTGATGAGCAACTACTGAGGACAGATCCGAAGGCCCTCACGTCTTTTCGCCTATCACCAAATCACTCGAAAGAACTCTCCAGAACAGGACACAAATAAGTGGATAAGATGGCCTTAATATATCTTACCTAACTTTACAGTTATATATATATCTTACCTAACTTTACAGTTAGGTAAAATAAGGGCTTCCTCGTTCCGCGAGACTGAACCGCAGTACGAGTTCCTTCGCCCCATAGAACCAGGCACAGAGTTTCAACCTCCGCCCTCGCAGCTTGGAGTGAAGGACGCATCGCTTAAAGCGACACTGATCGTCAATTTGCTACCTGCCAGTCGCTCGGTCTGCCCGTCGCAGTGGGACATTACCCAGCGAACTCGAGGGCGCTACCCTCCAGGCTACAAAAGCCACATCGCTCTAGGACTTCCCAGACCATCAGGTCGGCCAATGAGTGAACTTTCCGGGGCCTCTTGAACCACCAGATTCATAAATTTTATACCCTCGTGGCCGAGACTGCCTCGTGACAGTACACGTGCGCGAAAATCACGTTGCACTGAAACCACAGATCTGGACACCTCAAAATGGAGAACACAGAAATCCTCTTCTTTTTGTGACGCTATTTTTTGGAAATTGACGCTGCGCAGTAAGCACGACAAGCAAATAGCAGATAGCAGCTGAGAAACCTGGACAGTTGCCAATGCTTACGGTGTAGGGTTTACTACCGTGGAAGTACTCATGTTGATTCGGCGTGATCAAAGAGAGATAGGATTCAGCGACACACAAAAGGAAAAGACGAAAAACTTTGGAAAGAAAAAGTACTATTCTGGAAGACATTAGCACAATTTATAAGGTATAAAATGAGGAACACAAGAGAAACTTTGAAACTGAGAGACTCATGAAAGAAATACAGTAAAATGAAAGGAATTTTGCAAGAGGACTTAGACAACATTCTAGTTGAAATGGTGCAAATAACAAAATAGAAACTTCACGATAAATAAATGATATATATATTGCTTAAAAATAAAGAGAAATTAAAAAGAAATTTATTAATTATTTTTATTCATTAAATTCCTTAATCATTTCTCTAATGAAATTAAGAAAGAAATTCATCAGAGAAAATTCTCCAACCAAATTTATGTAATAAGTTATGATAATAATGTTAATACAATTATTGTATAGACTTTATTTGTAAATCACCCACTATATATGGCAATGTAAAATTTTTTTATTAATAAATACTAGACAAGGGCGGACGGAGCCAGAACCGATTAACCGTAAAAGTAAAGGGATGGTGCCCACGTCCTCCGTTACTACTACTACTACTACTACCGCGGGGGTAGAGTAATACATAGATTTATTACTAATTTTTAAATTGCACTATACATATATAAACACCCTTTATCTTCTAGTACTTTAATCTCCAGAATAAGTTCTCTTGATTAAGTAAATTACATCCGTGTTCAAAATAACATACTATGAATAACGAAAGAATAACCATCATTAGAAAAGAAGAAATATACTTCTAAATGACGTTAAAGAAGACTATCTTCAAACGAAAAATTCATCAAATTAAAACTCGCTGTAAAGTTCAGAAATTTTTTTTTACAGTGAAAGCTTTATGTGTTCAAAATTACTAAATTAAATTATATACTCTAGGGGGATAAAAACAATTCTCAAATACTATGACATTATCTGATATCAATGCTGTTATCCTATACGCTTTTCTTTTTTATACAGTTTTATTTTATGCCAGCGTTTATTAGATAGGGGCCGGTTGATCCCTAATATAGTTAAACCGTCCTCTGAATAATCGGGAGTTCATTATGAAGTTCTAATCCGATGAATACACAAATAAACTTCAGGAAAGGGGAAAAATTTTAGAAACAGATAATAATGTGTAGAATGTAAAGATAACTTTTACATACATTTGAGAAATAAATATTGCACGCGAATCGTTTCATTACAATATTTATTTTACTGCAATGAAAATATGATTTAAAAATTATAATATATGAATATGATTATATGATATAAATATAGAAAATATGATTAAATATGATTATACATTATTCTGGAGTTAAAATATGTCTATAATCTATTTATAACATCGCATTTCCAGAAGGGAGAAAAACTAATTCAATCGTGAGCACAGTTTTCATCAAAAGAATTTTTTTCCCTTAGAAAACTATTAGAAATACATAGCAGAAATTTACGTTTCGTGTCGAGAATAGTAAACAGTCTCGGAAAAACAATATCTTACTACATCTACTTAAAATATAATTTATATTTTAATAATGAGAAACATAGCGAATATTCTACCTGTAGGATATCCAGTGAAAGATTTATGAGCGTAAAGAAAATGTATAAATTTTTGAATGTTTAAATTTGACACAGAAGATACACGCAAAGTGCATAGGAAATATGCTGTCTACAAAAGCGTAGTTGCAGTATAATATCAAATGATAAATATTTGCATAAGCGAAATGCTTTATCTACAAAATGAATTTTATCTCTAACAGTTAAGTAGGTCCATAAGTAATTTTAGGAATGAAACTGAAGTCTGTTAATAAATTATGAAGCTAAGATGATGGTTATAATGGTTCAATTATATATGTGTCATGTCTACTAGGTACTGAAATTTTTCAACCAGGCTCAGTAAAGATGGCACATGAGAAATAGCGGAAATGATTGCATACATGTAAGTATATTTCTTTTAAATATCACATGCTTGCTAAAAGAAATTTAAGTGAAATATTTTGTTTAATTTTATGCGGCTGATATGCTGTAATGGGATCAAAGATCAAAAGATGAGAAACAAAGTTTTCTTCGCGTAATGTGTTCATCGTCAAACACTTTGTTGCAACTATTCTTAATCCCTCGAAACAGAGTTAGCGCCTTAACCGAATAGGAGATCATTTTATTAATCAGACCACTCTTGTACATTTATGTATATATATATATACATATATTTCAATAAGCATTCGATTACTGCGAAGCTTCTCTGACTTCATGTGACATCGCGCAAATTTTCTGTGAGCAAACACCTTTCTTTTTTTCTGAAAACGAAAATGGTAAACAGAATTATGTGGCTAATACCATTAAAATGGATTTAAAAAGTGACAAAGGAAAACAAAATTTCTTTGCAGACTGCAATTGTCTTTAAGCAGTTTATGCGTATACCTGTGGTTTGTAACCTACAAAAATAATGCTCCTCTTAATAATTCCCATGTCTAAGAGATTTGGCATCTTACTTGTATATGCAGTCATTTTATAATTAGAGCAATATTGTACATGTTTATGCCTCTATTTGTCTAATCAAGCGATCAACCAATAGAAAGTTTTCTCGATCTCACCTGGCTTTGTCTAAAATTTCTATAAACGAATGTCGCTTTTTTCTTTTTTAAGCTAAGCTTTACCGTTAATAAATACACGAGTTTATTCTTTCTAGCAGGAAAATTAATATTTTCTGCAAATAAAACATTTGCAAGTTACAACTCATGGATTTTATAAAATCACTTTCACGTGACATTAAAATACACTCTGTTATCAGGAGATTATTCTCTCAACTCTGACCTTACTGTGCATATATGGTTAGCCGCGTGAGTTTGATGTTTAATGTTAGCCAAAGAAATAGTTTGTGATGGCAGATAGGACAGAAGAGATTATTGGAGATAATATTAAAGATCCAGCTAAATAAGAGAATGGCATCACAAACGCAAGAACATAATTACAAAAAAATTCAATAGCTGATCAGCCATAGATGTCTTATTAAGTCAATGAAGAGTGTTTCACAAACTCACTGATTGCCAAAACTTTGGCGAGCCAAAAAAAGACCATTTGCTTGCTGTCAGTCACAAAAGCACAGAAATGGATATTAACTCTGTAAAATATTCAGAATTATTGTAATATTTCGGAAAGCGGGGAATTAATGAGAATGGATAGTTTCGATGATGAGCAAAATCGAGTAATTTTAAGTAAAATACACATATTTGTTTATTAAGTACTTCTTAGACAATTACGTGACTTTTATTTGATTTAATTTCAATATGATAATACTGAAAAATCTTTAAAACTTTATAAAAATTATCAGGATCTAACACAGAGTTGTGAAGCAATCAGGTGCAATATATAAAATGGTTCTAATAAAATGGTTCGATGCAGAACTATCATAAACTTTTGATTCGCAAAATTGCGTACATGAAATGAAAAATAATAAAATAAAAGAAGCTTGCATAATTTGACGTTTACTTTTTTCCCACTAAAGTGTTTTTTTTTCTCCTTACTTCATTTACTTGTAATTGAGTTTACATAGAACAGATAATATGGAATTCTTAACAGATTAGTTTCGATTTAATTTTTAATTACATAGGCGTAAACTGAATTTTCAGTAAAACTCCAAATATCCGGTCTCCAAATGCCTGAAATTGGAATTATCCATGTTGTTTTTTCTTCATTTTAGAGAAGTAAAACAGACAATGTTGTGAATTTTATTACGTTGATTCAACTAACATAAGTGTAATTCAGAAGAGTATATACTTTTTAAAATGCATGCATACGGCATGTAGATTGTTCCGCGATATCCGGCGGATATGTAGTCTATTAACATTAAGAGAAAAATTATTACAAATTAGTATACAAGCTATTATTGTTCTTTGTTTACTCTGCGACTCATAGCTTAGAAAAAAATAGGTGGTACTCTTTTTCTTAAAAATAATAAATAAATAAATTAACTTTGAGTAATTTATGTATGTTACTTTTCTTTTTTCCCAGGTACATAATTTTTGTTTTAATAAAATTTGAAGCAGATGAAAATTAATTTAAGTGTCTTTAGTTGAAATAGGAATCACTTTTGTGTTTGTGTAAGTGAAAATTAATTTAGTTTTTTAATAAGAATGGATTTTTTTTTAACAATTGTTTTTGACAAAATGCGTAGTTTGCATTTTATCTAAGCACAAGTATTTCACTTTTAAAATCGTTTAATCTTTGTCGAAATTCAACCTTAAAAAAGAAAATTCTGCTACTTGCATTACAGGAAATAGTTGTTTGATCTACTGGGAGGTCAATTATTCATTTTTTTCAAACAATCGGATAAACTGTGGTTCCAATAAGTCCGAATATTTGGAGTTCAACTGAATTCAAATAATATTTCCAATAATACTGACCGCAGTTATGTGGCCTTCCGACCCAAACTCCATCTTGGCAGACAATTTTCCATGTCGTCTTTTTTCCACTATATGCAGAAAGGCATTTGAACAGCACTTCCGTTCCATTGGGAAAGTAACGATTTGCCCCGCCAGATGGCAGCTTCTGTCTGCGAAAGCTTGCGGTTGCCAAAATACCGGCAGAGTTTGTGGGTTCCACGAAAGTGCTGCCACGGTACAAAAGAGTATTATGCAATCTCTCGGGAAGAGTACAGAGATTGCCAAAATTGGCAGTGTCTAATGTGTCAGGTGACATAGTGCCTGTTCGTGACATCACCATGTTTTCTGGAGCATAAACTGGAAAGAAATTTATTTAATCAATGAAGAGTTCAAATCAGTAAATTTTCAAATGAATGATTGAAAGTAAATGAGTTCTAGGAAGAAATTTCTTTAAATGAGTGAAGCTGTGTGAGAGAGAATGCTAACTGAGCTATTATGTTCTTAGTCTCTTCCATATGGCTTAAAATGTTTGATGCTATTCTTCCTTTTCAGGAAATACTTCATCGAGAACAACATTTCAAATAATCTGATGATTCGTTTCGTATCTTTAGCCTTGTACTTCTGGATGAATGGGGATATATTAAGCTGTCGTAAAATGCCTACAGTATTATGATAGAACAGGATCTAACAATATTCGTTAATAACACCTGACATGCTCATTTAATAAACAGTTTTTGCATCTTTTAATTCATTAAATATTAAAACCATCCGCAAACACTAAGATTTTGATAATTTAAGTACTTCATACTGTGGAAATTTTTACAAAATTTATACTTTAATTTTTCCGATTTTTGTAAAGGTAACTGGGCTTTTTGAATTGTGCTAAACATTCCATTATATTAAAAAGAAATTAAACCTCACTTTATTATGCATAAAAAAAATAAAAACAATAATTATCCATGAAAAAATTCTTATTTTTTCGTAAGGTGGCAAGCCTTCAAAATTTATGTTAACGCATTAAATCTTTCCACACAGTTATTCATTAATTTCAACATTATTTATTATATTTTTAACCAATTTTTTAAAATTATTTCATTTTTTTGCTTTCACATCATTCTGAAAATAATTATAAGATTCTTCACGATAACTCAATTTTCAACATAAATTCAAAAATACAATTATTTATCTTGCTAACCTTCCACTAAAATAATTTTAGAATCTTAAAATTCTTTATGAAATCGAATTTTTAATACCATAAAATTATACTTTTTTTCACACAACAATGCTACATTTTAAAAATCCAGTTTAATGAGAAAACTGTCAGTTTGTGATATAAATGCGATTACTGAAAAGCAGAGGGAAAAGTAATTTTCTGGCACACACTTCAAGCACAATTTTCAGTCCTGTACCAGTGAAAAAAAACCCGACTAATTTATTCACATAACAGCCGAGGGAAGCAATAAATAAACACGTAGTTCGGTGATTTTCAGAGCGCTTTCGAAGGGGTTATCAAGACTGCGCATGTCAGCAGGCATGTTGCTTTGAAATTTGCGCGCTCTCAGTTTTTCCGATTTCTTTGTAGTAAATAAGGTATAGTAATAATAATATTCTTAATTTTGTGTATTTTCAAGATTGTGTAAGTTCTGAAGAAACTTAGAATCTTTTGATGCTAAGTTTAACTTGAATTTTTTAATTTTTTTTATTTTATGCAAGTTTGCTTATTTATGTGTAACGTTGATCGCATTTTATAAATTTATGTTTGCTTTTCATATTGTTTTTTGAACACTTATTTGAATTCTAGAAGACAAAATTATCATTTTCACATCTTTTCTTGATGGTTATATTGGGTTTTATAGCCTATTTTGTATTTGCTTTCTTTACTGCTGCTTGTACTGTTAGGCTGGTTAACTGTTTAATTAACTGGTTTGTTTACGTTTGAGCATAGTTTGTTGGTGCATCAATCCTGGCCTCTTTCTGCCCGCTGAGGAGGCAATCAACAGCTGTTGGTGCACCGAAGTTTGTTGTATTTTAGCACGTTGGGTGATTTTTTTGTAATTCTTCGCAGAACTAGAACCTTTTTGGAATTCAAAATTATTTTGAATGAATTTGAGTCAAAATTATTTTGAATGAATTTGAGTCAAAATTATTTTGAGTGTTTTGAGAGAAAAGATTTGATTTTTAATGAATTTATGAGCTTTTATTGGATAAATTGTTGTATTTTTAAATAAAGGAAAATTTATATTTCGTCCCAGATCCTTGTGCATAATGAATGATAATACTCAAGAATCTCCTTTAGAGAATAATATTAATATTGATACCGAAGATGATGTATTTGTGGTGATTACACAATTAAATAAAGCGGTGGAAATTTTAAAAGAAAGACGTGTTCCTAAAGCCTTAATAGGGACGCTGAATAAAGGTCTAACTCAAACGGCCAGCTGGGCTACTCGCAATAATTATGTCCATATCGCAATAGAAGCAAGTAAAAGGAATGAAGAAAAACTGAATGATCTTCTAGGAGAGGTTGGCATGATTAGGAATATGATTGAATCGAAACGACTTGCGATATAACTTTTTAGAAATGGAGATGATTTACACAAAGATCGAAACCTTGGTAAAAATAACGAATTGAAAAGGAAGAAAGCTAATGAAATTGTTCTTAGACCGCTTCATAATAATGTAGGCATATATGATGAAATTAAGAACAATTTCAGTTCCCTGAAAATAGGCATCAATGTGGTTGACTCATATTGTCGGAGAAACGGAGATATGGTGTGGTGCGCCTAAAGAATAAAGAAGAGTATAAAATATTAGAACATGCAGTATTGGAGAATGAAAAATTGAATACCATGGTTAGACCTAAAAGGAAGAGATTTATTAAACTCAAGATTATTGTTTACAACATCTTGGATGTTCTTCTGGAGGATCAGATGATAGAGAAATTAAAGGAAGATTGCTGTTGCAATGGTAAATGCGTACGCCCGTTATTTAGGATTCGTTCTTCAGAAAGGGAGGTCTCTCATCGAGTGTACCAAATTTCTGAGTCCTGCCAAAAAGATCTTCTGGAGGCCAAAAAATTACTGTTGGGTGGAAGTCATATTCCGCTAAATTGTACCTTCGCCCAAAAAGATGCATAAAGTGTTTAGGGTATGGACACATTAAGAAATATTGTAAGAATAAAATCGCCTGTGGAATTTGTTCATTGGCACATGCTAAGTCAGAATGTAGATCTGAAACTGAAAAATGTATAAATTGTGTAGAAGTTAATAAAAATATGGAATAAACTATTCGGAAAATCACAATGCCTTTTCTAATGAATGGTCGGTTTTAATCGAGGAAACACGTTTTTTAAGGGATTATATGGATTTATAGGAATTTTATTGATTATGTTTAAAGGCCTATTATATGCGGCTGGAACATTTTATATTTTGGTTTTCTTTTCTGCTTTTTTGTGCCAAAATATATTGAATTTTAATTTTGCATATATTGGATTTTAACTTTGCCTACATTGGATTTTGTATATATTGTTACTTATATCATTCTTTTAATTTTAGAAATGAAGAATTTAAACATTAACTTAAATCATTATAATGCTGCGGTATGCCAGATCTCTGCGTTAGAGAATATTAGGGGTGAGGTACCTGATATTATTGCGCTGCAAGACCCATATAATGTTAAAGATGGAACTGCTTATAATAAAAATGAATGGAGAGTAATTAATGATAAAATAGACAGAGCCGCAATTGTAGTGTGCAATTCCGAATTTGATATTCGAGTGGATGCTGTCGGGGATACTATAGTGGCAATATCTGTATTTTTGGAATAAAAGAATGTTTGGTATCGTCTTAGTTTATTTCTCGCTTGCTGAGGACTTGAACGCACATTCACTTAGATTGGGAGAGATTTTAAATACATACGATGATGAAAATGATTTTATTGTTATAGGTGATTTTAATTCAAAACATTTTAGCTGGGGAGCACCTGTTGTAGATGCAAAGGGAGTTTTAACCGATATTTGATATTCGAGTGGATGCTGTCGGGGATACAATAGTGGTAATATCTGTATTTTTAGAAAAAAAAAAAATATTTTGGTATCGTCTCAGTTTATTTCTCGCCTGCTGAGGACTTGAATCCACATTTATTTAGATTCGAAGATATTTTAAATACATACGACGATGAAAACGATTTTATTGTTATAGGTGATTTTAATTAAAAACATTTTAGCTGGGGACCACCTGTTGTAGATGCAGTTTTAACCGATGATTTTATTGCACAAAAGGGTTTGATTTTAGCAAATAATTCAGATTCTAAACTTACATTATTGTTCTCAGTGGGAGAAGGTTGGACGGGTCTAGTCTTGGGTTCGCCAAGACTTAATACTCAGGAAGTTAATATGAATATTTTGAATGAGGATTCTCTCAGCGACCACAGATATATATATATGGATTGAGACAGGACTAGGGTTGAAAGTGAAAAGTGATAAGAAATTTATAAGTACTAATATTAATAGAATTAAGAGATTTAGTCGAAATAGGAAAAAAAGATTTAATAGGAATGGAAAATGAGATACTGAAATCTAAGAATGAAGAGGAACTGAATAAAGTGATTTCACATATTGAGAATCATATTATAACAGAAATGTGGAAAAGCTGAATGTGTGGAAGAAAGAGAAGGAGGAAAGAACTCCCTGGTGAAATTCGGGACTGGATAATATAAGGAGACAAGAAAGAGCGGCACAGAAGCGGACACAAATAAAAGGATTGCGCGAAAAATCGAATATAAAAGAAACCTAGTAAAATATAAAAAAACTTATCATGCGTAAGAGGAAAGGATATAAAAATCATCTGTTTATGAGGAATAGGAATTATTATGATGGATTCTTTAGAGTTGCCATCGCTAAAATGAAAAAGAAAATGATTATTGAGAGAGATAGTGAAGCCCCGACAACGTCTATTGAGAACAATTACAAAGAAATTATCGAAGATATTTTATATCTTAAGGATTTTAATGAGGATATAAATGAAGAAGAAATTATTATGGAGCGGGATGAAGAGAAGAAAACTTTGTTTACATTGAAATTTTGATTGCGATGAAAAGTCTACGCATAAGGTCTACTCCTGGGTTGGATGGGATCGGGGCCACATTGTTGAAGATATTGTTTGAAAATTGTCCTTCCTTTTTCATAGTGTTATGAACACTATGTGTTATGAAAAAGCATATGTTCAAGCATATGTTAGCACTTGAAGTTGGGGTTATTTTCAGATGTATGGAAAATTGGAAAATTAAACTTGATTCCAAAGGATAAAAGTAGATAGAAAAACACGGGTTCACCCACACGCGGTGTGCGGTGTGGGCGT